ATACATAGATAAATAAATAATATGAGTAAGTTAACTCTATGTATCAGTTAAATTCTCTAGGTGCCACAAGTCGGGTTAGAGTTGCATGCACTAGAGGAGCCTACTCACTGATCTCTATGGTACTTTTGGCTTTGACAGTTTCATAAATGTCTCCTTGCTTGTAATGACTATTTTGTGTAGAGTTTTTTTTCTTTTTGCCTGGTCCCCATAAAAAGAAACAAAGCAGAGCTGGCGGGTGGCTCAGCCTTGTAATCCTAGCACTCTGGTGGGCCGAGGCGGCGGATCGCTCCAGAGTTTGAACCAGCCTGAGCAAGAGCGAAGACCCATCTCTAACTATAATAGGAAAAGAATTCATTGGCACTTGGTATAGTATTAGAAACATTAGCTGGGGCATTGCGGCGCATGCCTATAGAGTCCCGCTCTTTAGGAGCTGGCAGAAGAGTTGCTTGAGCCCAGAGTTTGAGGTTGCTGATGAGCGTAGGCTGAAGCCATGCAACTCAGCTTTAGCTGGGCAACAAGTGAAAACTCGTGGCTCAAGAAAAAAAAAAAAAAAAAAGCAGATTTTGGAGTTCGAAACCAGCCTGAGCAAGAGTGAGACCCTGTCTCTACTATAAATAGAAAGAAATAGTCAGGCATTGTGGCATGCACCTGTAGTCATAGCTACTGGGGAGACTAAGGCAAGAGGATTGCTTGAGTCCAGGATTTGAAGGCTGCAGTGAGCTATCATCACACCCCTGCACACTAGCCTGTGTGACAGAGTGAGACCCTGTCTCTAAATAAATAAATAGATAAATAACTTAATTTTGATTTAATAATCCAAGTTTGAACAGCCATTTTTATAGAAATTTGCCATCATTACCTACCTGCCTTATATGTGTGTGTGTGTGTGTGTGTATATATATATATATATATTTTTTTTTTTTTTTTCTGAGACAGAGTCTCACTCTGTTGCCTGGGCTAGAGTGCCATGGCGTCAGCCTAGCTCACAGCAACCTCAAACTCCTGGGATCAAGCAATCCTCCTGCCTCAGCCTCCCGAGTAGCTGGGACTACAAGCATGTACCACCATGCCCGGCTAATTTTTTCTATATATTTTTAGTTGTCCAATTAATTTCTTTCTATTTTTAGTAGATATGGGGTCTCGCTCAGGCTGGTTTCGAACTCCTGACCTTGAGCAATCCTCCCACCTCGGCCTCCCAGAGTGCTAGGATTACAGGTACAAGCCACTGTGCCGCCCTACCTGCCTTATAGATTAAAATTTTATACCCTCATTTTCATTTTAAAGTTAATATCCATGATAAATATTATTCTCCTATGCTGAGCTTAGAGGGTGAACTTCAAAACTGAAAAATTACATATCTCAGTTAACTGAATGCAGAAATAAAGTCACGAGATTAAATGGTTGAGAGGGTGAGACCTTCAGACATTTTTTTTTTTTTTTTTTTGAGACAGAGTCTCACTTTGTTGTCCAGGCTAGAGTGAGTGCTGTGGCGTCAGCCTAGCTCACAGCAACCTCAAACTCCTGGGCTTGAGTGATCCTTCTGCCTCAGCCTCCCGAGTAGCTGGGACTACAGGCATGCGCCACCATGCCCGGCTAATTTTTTAAATATATATCAGTTGGCCAATTAATTTCTTTCTATTTATAGTAGATACAGGGTCTCACTCTTGCTCAGGCTGGTTTCGAACTCCTGACCTTGAGCAATCCTCCCACCTCGGCCTCCCAAGAGCTAGGATTACAGGCGTGAGCCACAGCGCCCGGCCTCTTCAGACATTTTTTAGGAATCATATTTTGTGCTACCTATCTTGTCAGCATTTATAATGCTGTTTTTTATAACTGAATTTTAAAAGTTTTTTTTTTTTTTTTTTTTTAATAACAATATGTGCTTTTAGATTTTTTCAGAGGACCCACAGTACCGAATATCCGCCTGGCTGGATTAGAGTATGTTCTGCACTTCACTGCACTGAGTGGGAAGATTTACTTTCGAAGCTATAAGTAAGTGCATTTCTTAATGTGTTTTTCTTATCCTTCATGGTTAGCATTTTAGTGTGACTATTTTATAGAGCTCAAACTTAGAATTAATGTCTGGCCAAAAGTTTTATTGGAGAGCTTGCAGGGTAGCAGTGGCAGCAGCTCTGTGCTGATCCTTGCTCTGTCGTTCTCCTGCTGATCTCTACCTTTGAAACCCTGCCTTCGCAGGGCCCCAGAGCATCTGATGCTGCACTCCGTCTGCGCCTGGAACACTAACCCTCTCTCGCTTTATTTATGCAGTATTTCTTTATTGTTCTTGGCTGGATTTAGAGCACCATGCCAAAATTCTTAGGCCAGCCAAAGGAAATCTGAAAACCCTAAATCTAAAAATGGAATTTTCTAAAAGGAATGAGAAGATTCAGTGGCTAGATTCATTTAACCCTCTCTCTCCAGCCTAGGCATTTTACTCCTATGCCCACCATGATTAAATATAAATCCTAACAGACAGATTCTGTTTTTATTGAAGAGCTAATAAAGGCATGCAATAATTGTACCTTTTGAGGTAAGCGTGACTTTTTTTCTTTTTTACAATGAAGTGTTGGCACTGGCTGATAGAACCCACACTTTCCTAGAGAATACACTGACTCTCACAAAATGCCTTTCTTTTGTATGTTGAGTTCAGACTTTGGTGTACATTTTGACCTGACATCTCAGGTCAATGAAAAATGAAAAAAATCTAAAAGCACAAATTAAGTTGTTAAAAAAATGCTTTTAAAATTCAGTTACAGGCCAGGCGTGGTGGCTCACGCCTGTAATCCTAGCACTCTGGGAGGCTGAGGTGGGTGGATTGCTCAAGGTCAGGGGTTCGAAACCAGCCTGAGCAAGAGTGAGACCCTGTCTCTACTATAAATAGAAAGAAAATTAATTGGCCAACTAATATATATATAGAAAAAATTAGCCGGGCATGGTGGCACATGCCTGTAGTCCCAGTTACTCGGGAGGCTGAGGCAGGAGGATTGCTTGAGCCCAGGAGTTTGAGGTTGCTGTGAGCTAGGCTGACGTCATGGCACTCTAGCCCAGGCAACAGAGTGAGACTCTGTCTCAAAAAAAAGAAAAATTCAGTTACAAAAAACAGCATTCTAAATGCTCTGCCTTATGTTGACAGTGTCTTCTGTTACAGTAGTGCTGTTTGTGCAGCCATTTGTGTCCAGCATTTCATACATTGTGTTTAATGTTTTTCAATGGGGGATACGTGGCTGACCAGCTAATGTCCAATGAGCATCCAAATAAAACTACATATTTCCATCTTGGTCTCCTACTGTATTCGATCAGAGATACTTAGTTCCTTTCACATTATGATTAGTACCACCACTTCCGTTTTTCTATTTTCCTTATTAAAAATAAAATAATAAGACAAAATGCAATAAGATATCCAATAATTACAAGATGTAATTAAGGATTTTCTAATCATTTTTAGTTAGTTAAGATCAAAAGCCCCTTAAGTCTGCTGTTTGAATTTCCACATTTGATTTTGGAGCTATCAAGAATGTATTATAGTTGGGTGCGGTGGCTCATGCCTATAATCCTAGCACTCTGGGAGGCCGAGGCAGGCGGATTGCTTGAGGTCAGGAGTTCGAAACCAGCCTGAGCAAGAGCGAGACCCTGTCTCTACTATAATGGAAAGAAAACTAATTGGCCAACTAATATGTATAGAAAAAATTAGCCGGGCATGGTGGCGCATGCCTGTAGTCTCAGCTACTCGGGAGGCTGAGGCAGAAGAATTGCTTGAGCCCAGGAGTTTGAGGTTGCTGTGAGCTAGGCTGACACCATGACACTTACCCAGGCAATAAAGTGAGAGTCTGTCTCAAAAAAAAAAAAAAAAAAAAAAAGAATGTATTATACTACAAAGTAAATGACTGCTATTTAGAGAAATAGTTTTTTTGGTTTTGGGGGTGGAGTTTGAGGCAGGATCTTGCTCTGCCTCCCAGGCTAGTGTGCAGTGGTATCATCATAGCTCACCCCAACCTCAAAATTCTGGGCTCAAATGATCCTCCTGCCTCAGTCTCCTGAGTAGCTGGGACTACAGGCTTGCGCCATCCTGCCAGGCTAATTTTTTCCTATTTTTATCAGAGTCAGGCTCTGCCTCTTGCCCAGGCTGGCTTCAAATTCCTGCCTCAAGCGATCCTCCCACCTCAACCTCCCAAAGTGCTAGGATTACAGGCGTGAGCCACAGAGCCCAACTGAGATAGTTTTCAATAAATAAATAGAAGGGAGCTTTAGAGGAGTTTTGGCAACAGTCAGTGGTACTTGGGTGATCTGAATTCATCAGACATGCCAAATGCTGGTAAGCTCTCCTTTTTTTTTCTTCTTTTCTTTTCTTTCTTTTTATTTTAATATTTTTATCTCTCTTTTTAATTTTTTCCCTGCTTTTGATTCTTCTAAAGTTTTCCTTTTAGCTAAAAATTAGCACTGTCACTGGCAGATTTTTTTAGTTGGAATTTTATATACAGTATCCCTCATTTCTTCAGTAGTCTTCTAAACGTGTCTTTCCTGATGACTTTTATTAGTTCAACATTACACATATCATTATTTGGAGGCACTAAAAATGTGGATGCAACTGCAGATGTGCATGACATGACTGACTCAAGTGGTCACTGCCTCCATATGCTTTGAATTAATTTTTAGAGAAGATGCCTTGATAACCAGCAACTTTACCTTCTAAAAGTGTTTCACCCTACAGTAGTAGACCTGATTGTCTTATATCTCTTCTGGAATCCCTATGAAGAGAGTTACATGAGAGCTCTGATTTAGGCCGTCCTCTCCCCATGCTTGTTTCCTTTAAGGCCCATGCTGATGATACTCATTTTATCTTTTAGTACTAGTACAGCTTTTTATTGTTTAACACTTCTCTTCTTTATGTATCCTAGGCTTTTTGCTTGTTTGTTTTGCCTTATTCTGTATCACTTACAGGTTGAAAATCCAAAATCTGAAACTTTTTGAGTGCTGACATGCTCATAAGAAATGCTCTAGTGCATTTCTTTTTTATTTATTTAATTCATTTATTTTTTTGTTTGATTCAATGTCACTTCCAGTGCATTTCTGATTTTAGATTTTTGGGTTAGGGATGTGTGGAGGTAAAGGGGAAAACTTTCCCTTTCCCCTGAAAGTTCTCTGAAAGATCAACTCATAATTAAGGCACATGGAGGGGATCACAGAATGATTACCCAATATCCTAATGAGGTCCAGAAATTTTTATGCCCCTCCTTTTAGAGGGTCGGGGGAGAGGAATAATATAGGTAATTCTATTTAGGGACAATAAATGCTTGCTAGGGAGGATGAATGGATGAGGACACAGATTGACTTGTATGTTAACCTGAGAGACAGGTATTATGTTTTAAATGATTTGAATCACCTCCAGTTGCATTCTTGATCTTTCCTGCAATTTATACTGAGATATAATAGGGAAGTCAATTATTCTTTTGATGAATCTGTCTGGTTATGCAGGTAGTGGGAAAGCCCCTTCCAGGGGCCTGTTGATCTCTAAGGGTTCTTTATACCAAGGAGTCATATTTTGTGGTGAAATTTGCTGATGCTTGAGCATTTGTTGAGCATCTGATGTCCCTTCAGATGCTCCACCCATGTAATGCAAATATTCTGAAATCTGAAAAAAAAAATCTAAAATCTGGAACACTGCTGGTCCTAAGCATTTTGGATAAGGGATACTCGACCTGTACTGCGTTCAGTACAGCGTATGTATTACTATTACTCTTTCTGTAAGCAGTAAATGTGCCTTCTTTAGGTAAACTGTCTTGATTGGTTATCTGCATGTGACGCACATAGGGCCCAGAAGGGTATTAATGGGCTTTTGCAAACTTGTTTCTGCTTCCTGGTGTTTCTTACTCTCTTGGGTATTCCTTAACTGTGCTTTCCTCTTCTGTTGTTTCTCATCTCTCATGTCTCCTGTTGGTTTCTCTCACACTCCAGCATTTGTTTGACAAGGCTGATCTTTTATAAACATTCTCATTCATTCAGCCCTCTTTTTCCCCTGTGGAGACTTGGCTGTTATAACAAATTGAATATAATCTTCAGGTCTTTTAGTAGTTCTTATGGTATCGCTCAACAAAAAGAATTTGCAAGTCTCTCTACTCCACCAATCCCCATGCTCTACTTTTCCCCCATCCCAAGATATACCAGTTCCAGAGCTATGTAGACATAGGGCATCTAGAAAGTTATAGTTTTGTTATATATTATTAAGATTTTTAAGTTCACGTTAGTCTACAGAGATCAGTAAATATCTGTCCTTTAAGGAAAAGTTGATTTTGAATGAGTTGATTGAACTCCTACAGTCTTAGATAAGAATTTTTTTTTTATAATCATGTAAAATACTGTTCAAAGACCCATTAAAAAATTTTTATACTTAATAATCTTAAATGATAAGTCAATCGAAAGAGATTTCTTCTTTTCTGAGAGAATTTTTTAAATCTTTTTGCGTTTCCTCTACAAATATTGTGTAATTTTCTGATTTTAAAAAAAACAACCACTCTCTAAAAGGAAAAAAATCATTAAATTGGTTGGTATTTGCTGCTGACTCTTAACTCTAAAAGAAAAAATGTATAAAAATGTGAACCAAAGGATAGGACTTGGCTGAATATATAAATATTCAAGTAGTTAGCTTTTCTAAACTTCTTATGTCGTTTTATGGAGACTGTAAATCCCTTGAACAAAAAACTTGGGGAAGCTTTTATATAAAAGTGAAACGCATTTCTTTTTTTTTTTATTTCATAAAGGTTGCTGTTGAAGAAGTCTGGTTGCAGAACACCGCGGATGGGGGGGGGGGGGGGGGGGGGGGGGGGGGGGGGGGGGGGGGGGGGGGGGGGAATGGAAGAGATGGGACCCCACTTGGATCTAGTTATGAGGAGGACACACCTGCATCAATACTTATAATTAGCTATGAAATGCAAAAGCTCTCAAAGTACATGACCTGGGCTTGGTCCGTAATTTATTGTGTGGATTTATAGTAATATTATATTGAAGGAAATATACATAATGAGATCTAATAGATAAAACTAGCCTCTTAGAACCAGAAAAGAGAGAAGAACTCAAAGCCGACCATAAGGATAATAAAAAAAGAATAGCAGAATCAGGCATAAGTGTTGACTGAGAGCTTTCTGATAGTTTGGACTGCCATTTCACGCAGCAAAATGTTTGGGGCTCATGAAGACTAAGGATTGAGCACGTAATAACCATATGTGCATAAAATGTTCCTGACTTTTTTAAAAGTCACATATTTTTAGACATCTATCCAAAAGAGATGACTCTAATAGTTTAAAAACAAGTAGAAATGTTATCTCGAATCGTAGAGATTGAAATGATAGTCATAATTGCATAAGCTAAACACAGGAAATTCGGCCGGGCGCGGTGGCCACGCCTGTAATCCTAGCACTGTTGGGAGGCCGAGGCGGGCAGAGTTGCTCGAGGTCAGGAGTTCGAAACACCTGAAGCGAGACCCTGTCTTACCAAAAATAGAATAAATATTACAACTAAAAGTATATACAAAAATTAGCCGCATGGTGGCGCATTGCCTGATAGTCCCAGCTACTCGGAGGCTGAGCAGTAGGATCGCTGAGCCCGGAATGAGTCTGTGGAGCCAGGCTGACGCCACGCACCACTCTAGGCCTGGGCAACAAAGTGAGACTCTGTCTCAAAAAAAAAAAAATAAATAACACAGGAATCTCTCAATGGTGGTGACGTGTATAGTGCGTTTATAGTCCTTATCTCAAATGTGGTCTGACAAGTTTACCTGGAATTGTTAAGAAAAATGCAGAATATTGTCTATGCTACGACCTACTAATAGAACTTATATTTTGAACAAGATCCCAAAGTGATTTTAACACACCTTCTATAAAGTAAGAAAGGTTTAATTAGCAGCTATACACTCTGTTATCATAAGGGGATAAGTCACTCATGGAGTTACTAAATAGCTGTAGACTAGATTTTTACTGACTCATGATAGTAGAAAGCCATTAATATAAATATATATATATAATGTGTGTTATGGTATTATGATTCTTTTTTCATAGCCAAAGAAGAAGAAAAAAATTCTCCATGGATACTTTTGGTACACTTTATGGAAGATTCTATTGCAGAAGCAAGACCTGAGCAACTACAAACAGGAAAATGAAGGATTGAAGAGCACCTGCAGAAAGGATAACAGAAACAGGAAAAAAAGCAAAGAGAATTAAAAAAATTGATGGAGCTTAGCCACACAACTACTGTTTTATTGTAGTCTTTTGTACTTAGAGATTATCAACCTTCAACCCATTCAGATTTTTATAAGATTTTATTGTATAGGCGGATAGTGGCTCATGCCTGAATCCAGCACTCGGGGAGGCCTTGGAGGTGGAGGAGATCGCTTGACTCAGAAGTTCAGACAGCCTGAGCAAGTGAGACCTGTCTATCCCCACCCACATAAGAAAGAATTAGCCAAACAATAAAACAGAAAAAATTAGCAGGCATGTGGCCCATGCTTATAGTTCAGCTACCCGCGGAGCTGAGGCAGGAAGGGTCGCTTGATCCAGGAGCTGAGTGTTGAGCGTATGGACGGGCTGATGCCACAGCACTTCTAGCCCAGCGCAAGAGATGACTCTGTCTCAAAAAAAAAAAGCATTTTATGTATATTTTATAGCATGAGTAATTTACTATATTATTATGAACAGCAAATATACTAGTCTTCTTAAAGTAAGCCTCTTACTAATGTAACACCACTGTGTATACCATTTTCTCTATGCTATATCCTCTACCCTCCAAAACTCTCTCACTGGATGGATGAATGAGGAGGAATCTCCCAACCATTGATATTTTGGGAATTACTGAGTTAGCATTAGATAAAGAAAAGCCATTGTATACAAGAGTTACCCAGGCGGGCGCGGCTGGCTCAAGCCTGTAAATCCTACACTCTGGAGGCCGAGGGGGCGGATTGCTCGAGTCAGGAGTGTCGAAACCAGCCTGAGCAAGGCAAGACCCACGTTCTCTACTATAAATAGAAAGAAATTAATTGGCAAACTAACTATTATATAATATAAATTAGCGCGCATGGTGGCGCATGCCTGTAGTCCAGCTACTCGGGAGGCTGAGGCAGCAGGATTGTTGAGCCAGAGTTTGAGTTGCTGTGCGCACGTAGAGCTGACGCCACGGCAAAACTCATCTAGCTGTGCAACAAAGCGAGGATCTTCTCAAAAAAAAAAAAGTTACCCAAAGTACCAAAAGTAAGTAAGCTGTATACTTAATCATATGACTACATGGAAACTTAACACATCTCCCAACATATATCTACAACCTGATTCTACTTTTACTTTTCTTTTTTTGCCTTGAAATCTACCAGTTGAGAGTTCATTTGAGATTAAACTTGTGTCTTTAAAATATAGATCTCTGAGAGGGATGTATCAACCGATCATTGACCATTCATTACTTTACTGTTAGTTGTTTAGAATCTGCTATATCAGAGCCCCCACCCCCCATTCTGAGAAAAAGTAGTATTTGTAGGGTAGAAATGGGAAGGAGAGAATGGTTGAGTTAAGAATAGGGCATTTTAGGTACTTGTATGTGGCTAAGGTTGTATGAAGCTTTGGGTGTTTCCAGATGGCTGTTTTGACCTTTCTTGAATACCAGCCCTGTGCTGTTATAAGCTCTACTTTCTCCTACTAGTGTTGCATACTTGTTTTCCCAGACAGAGTATTTAGTTCCTTGATGAGTCCTGGCAGAAGAGCTCAGGTGCATGCTCTTTAGGTCATAAAACATAAAACATACATAGCTTGTAATTGTTGCATGAATAGCATGCTTTTTTATCAATTCCATTGCATAAGAACTCTTGTCTTGTGGTGCATGCATTATGTGGGCTTGCTCAGTAACAGGTTCGGTGCTGCCCTAAGCAAAAAGTTGGAGCCTCGGTTTTTACCTTCTGCCATCCTTTCTTCTCTTATGAATCACTCCTGTAGCCTTTACTTTCCCTCTCCAATTGCAAAATGGCTGATACTGTCTCTCCCTAGAAAAAGGAGCTGGTATTGCTTCCCATTTTACACATTGCTTGATTATACTTTAACCAGGGGTCCTCAAACTTAAACAGCGATTGGAGGGCCGACTATAGTTTAAAAAAAACTATGAACAAATTCCTTATGCAACTGCATATCTTTATTTTGAAGTAAACAATGGCAAAAACATCCACATGTGGGCCCCCAGGCCTTAGTTTAGTGCCTTATTTAACCAAAGACCACAGTCTTTTTTTTTTTTTTTTAAGCATATTAACTGGGGGTACAAGTGTTAAGGTTTACATATATTGCCCATGCCCCCCTCCCTCTCCGATGAAGACTTCAAGCGTGTCCATCCCCAAAACGGTCTTTTTTGAGTTTTTATTCAAGGTAGGTCTTCGCTCTGTCACCAGGCTAGGATGCGTGGTGGTTATACTCACGCAACTTCAAACCCTGGGCCTTAAGCGATCTCCAGCACTCAGCCTCTTGAGTAGCTGGGACTACAGGCAGTGCTATTAAACCCTGCTAATGTTTTCTATTTTTTGTAGAGATGGGGTCTCACTCTTGCTCAGGGCTGGTCCTTGAGCTCCTGGGCTTAAGCAGTCTCCTGCCATCTGCCTCCAAAGTGCTAATTACAGGTGGTGGCATGCCCACCTGCACAGTCTTATCTGAAGAATTTCACTTTTTTATGTCAAATAGGGAAAAGGCTAAATGATTCATTTTTGCCATCCCAAGTAGAGTGGACAATACTGGAGAGGAAGAGCTGTGAAAAGGACATCAGAAATGATGGATGTATAGACTGTCCCAGTCCTGCCCTGACTAGTTTGCTGATGCCAGGGGAAAGTATTTTTGGACAT